AAAAAAAAAAAAAAAATGTTTATTTGATTCCAACATCAGATGACATAAATGGCAATACAGGTTTGCTGGGATTTTAGACTGATTCAAGTTTTGATCTAAGATTTAAGTTCCCACAGGTGGCAAGGTAAGATATCTTTCTACCTATCCATCCTTGAGTTTTCCCAGAAACTAAGATAAGGCTTTAGAGCCAAAGTTACGGTGGCCTGCTGTAAATGGTCATGGAAGGCTGATTCCTTGAATCTCACCAGTGCCGGCTCCAAGTCACCTCTGCACAAGAAGCTGGAGGGAAGTCTTCTCTAAGTAACTTACTTGTTTCCTGCAGTTTAGGTTTGGAACTCCTCCCCCTCATAAATTTTAAAGACTCCTCCTATTGTTCAAGCCTTTTAGCCAGCTTTAAGAATCAGTGCAAAGGAAGAGCAAGCCATCCTAAATCTTTATTGTTTTAAGTATATATATAGTTTTTAAAAGTCTTAATATCAGATATTGTGTTTCCTCATCCAGGGTATCTTAACTACGGACAATATTATGACAAGTTGGATCAAATTGCTGAAGGGGAAAAAAGTCCATTTTCCACCTTTAGTGTGTTCATAATGGTTTGATTATGAACTCTTCTTGTTCTGGCTCTCTTCTATGAAGCTGGCATCCTATTCACCTTCTTTATACTTTTCTTCATCCAAGCTGTGAGCACCATATCAGTTTAGGTCACTAGTCCAAAGTGGAAGTATTTCTGTTTCTCTAAGAAGGTCCAAATTCCTACCTCCCTCTGAGCTACTTTTAAAAAATCAAAGGTGGCCCCTATACTGTTACATGCAGTGACCCCATTAGTTGTTTCCGGAATACTTCAATGGCATCAACAGTTTACAGGCACAATATCTACCAGGTACACTCAATAAAAGTAGTAATTTGTGACCTTTCATAATAACTGAGCTGATCAGGAACAGCCGCGCTTTTTGCTTATTACAACAGTCTGGACACCCTTTTAGCTGCATGATTTAGAAAGTTGTACAGGCAAAAGCTGCTTCATGAAGGAAAATGAACACAATCACATTAACTAGTATCTTCCCTTTCCCCACTCCACTTTTCAGTCAAGCTCAGTTGAACAGCCTCACTTCTGCTTTGAGTTCAAGTCCGTAGGCAGATGATAAAAAAACATGAGAATGAGTCCCTGCATACCTCTAAGCAGTTCTTTGTGCAAACAAAGTATATAGTCCATTTTCTGCTTTGCCACATCCTCTGGGTTGCTGGCTCTGCTTTTGATTCTCCATCTCAAAGATGCTGCGTTCTGGTTGCATTCCTCTTGCAGATAATAAAATAGAAGTACAAGGGGCAAGTTTTCTCAGTAACTCAGTTTTCAAGACAACATATATCTTGGCCTGACTACCTCATGCTGCTTTTTTTTTTTTTTTTAACCTGTCTCCTGTTCAAGGAAGGAAAAAGGTGGTGTGGGGAAGAGATTCTTCCTATTGTCTGCTGGAAGCAAGATTATAACCTTTACTTTTGCCCTTTAAATATCCCCTTGGAAACGTAGTGGATGAGCACCTGGTCACTTGCCTTCAGGTTTTAGTTGCATTTTCTTCTAGAATCTTATTTGGAGAAGGGAATGCTGGGCCAGAATGTTTGGATTCTTTGTGGATGCTTGGGGCTAGTTCACATTTGAATCTCACAGATTATAAAATTTCCAGCTTCTGCTCTATAAGAGATTCCAGTTTCAGCCAATTCAGTATTTGCGTATCTGATTTGCATCCATGTGGGTGCAATGAGGGTGGGAGTGCTTTTTCTGATTCTTTTTTTCCAGAGTTTTCTAATAGATGTTAGAAAAAATGCATTCACTTTTAAGATGGCTGCCCTTTGAAGTCAAGACTTTCAAAGGTAACTAATGATTTTGAGCTGCTCCATTTTGAGTTATCTTAAAGAGACTTCCATTTTCTGAAAATTCCACATGGCCAGATGATGTGCATGTAAATGACTTGTGCCTTGAAAATCTTTGTGTAATGTATTTACATGTGATGGGCTGCAGCCCACTGAGAATGTACTCCTTATTTCCGAACAAAATATCAACTTAGCTTCTCTTCTTTTTGATGTTGCCTGACCCTAGGTGAGCTTTCCTTTCTGAGAAGATATTCTGGATGATGAAGTACATGCCTGAATGAAAACACAAATTGATGTAAGCACAAGGCAGTGAAGTCCAAAATGTCTTCAGTTCATTTATGAAGAACAGTATGAGCCTTCCTCTGGCAACCCCAAAAAGTTCCTTCCATGAACTTCAGAAGAGTGCGACACATTACAAAAATTAGGTCCTTCTGTAAACTTTGCCCAAATGTTCAAATTTGTTTTAAAGCTAATGACAGAATGAAGGTGTGGCAGTAGTGTTAGCTGCAATTAGAGTGTTTAAAAAGTATTTCACTGTGAGCTAGGGAAAAGAAAGGGTCAGTTTATACCCAGAACTTTTCTTTTTTTATTTTTTCCTCCCTTTGACATGATAGAAAGAGGGACAAGCTGTACAAGTCTTAATTTAGATGTATCTTCACATACCAGCTGAGAGAGCTAGCACAAAATGAGAATATGATCAAATAGAAATTGATGAGGAAGACTTCTATTTTATTAACAGCTGTAATACCAAGATCATTGACATGCTTGTATTTCGGTTTTGTATTTTTACCCGCCACGTTCTGTCTCTTGCAAAACTAATTACTTGTTTTTGAAAGACAGGAATTCAAGCGGGCTGGTGACCAACTTCTGCTTAGTGCTCTGCAGGAGAGGTTGCCGAAAAGGTTAAAGTTTGTGAACAGAGCTATACTGATTTCATTATTAACCTTTGCAGACATCTCAGTTGTGTTAGAACCCTGCTTTCTGTGAGATGAGTCACTTACCTATGAACAGCACTAGCAAGTACGCTTTCAGAACATAGGGGAAGTAGATGGAGAAGGCGAATGGAAAGGGCAGCTTGATGGAGTATGTGCCAAAGGATTCAAAATAGGGCAGTGATACACAGATGGCAAATGCTGTAAAATAATATGGTAAATCTTTACTCAAAAGGAGGTAGACGATCATCAAAAAGCTTCATGTAATTGAGAGCCTAAGTTACCTGTAAGACATAGATAGCCATATTATGTGCTGCGTTTACCATGTCATTTGAATGCACCCATATGTGCTAAAGCTGTACGTGCTGTTTTCTCCTTAGAGTTTTATAGATCTGAGGAGCTAATTGCTCTTGATACTAGAATTAGCAAATATTTACTAATTCAGTACTGAGTTTAGGCACAGCTGTAGCTACACTGCTGTCAATATGGTGTCAGTGATCACATTTCCTCATTGTAAGTATGAAGAGCTACTCTAATCTAAGTGTGGCCTGAGCTGGTAGGGTCAGCTGCAGTGGTGGAAAAGTCAGTTTTGAGATGTGCAGTTTGATATGGTCAGTATGGAATGGGGGATCTGTGTATCTTTCATGGAACTGTTTTGTTAATTTATCCAGAAATATGAGTGCCTGTGCTGTTTTTTTTAAAAAAAAAAAAAAAAAGCAGCAGCAACAATCCAGATAAGGCAAAAAGTAGAGGAAAAAGGAAAGATAAGTGAAATACAGGTAAATATGACAGCGCATAAACATTTATTTGTAACTATCTTGGCAACACAGGAAGACATATCTTAAAAATGTGAATGTGATTGGACTGATCAAATGTTATTAAAAAAGAAAAGCAAGTGGGTGGTCCTTTGCTCACCTCCTTACCTTTAGCCAGCACTGAGAGAGGGTAGAGCAGGATGCACAGTGAGAAATTGAGCCATGTCAGTGGTAGATAGTATATTCCTGTCCTTGCTAGCATGTTGTAAGTGTACCTGCAGCAAGAAGAAAGGGAGATTGTCTCAGAACAAGTAAGCATGTCTTCAAAATAAAGATATTACTGAGAAAACCAAGAGTTTCACAAGAGCTTGGAGCTGCCCAGGTGAGAAGCTACTTCAGAGCAGTACTGCACCAATTTTGCTCAGGCTTTAATTCATATCTAAATATAGAGAGTTCATTGTTTCAGCAGCAGTCTGTGGTGCTAGCTGGAAGCAGACAGACTTCAGCCCAAAAATGCTCTCAGAAACTGGTGTGATTTCATATTTTTCTGTCAGAAAACAGATTTCAGTTAAGGATGTTATGCTTGAGAGGGGCGGGTAAAGCAGAATCTGACTATTGCCTAGGATTAAGAAAACGTGGGTTTATAACAAGTAGCTAAACCATTGCTGAAGGATGTTAAGTCCTGAAATATTCACAGGTAGCACTCACTCTTCTGTAAGGCAGATACTTGGTGTGAAAAAATAATTACACTCCCATGTATTTCAGTGTTTTATTCTTACTGCGGTAAAAACTAAGCACTGATGTTAGTAATAGCTGTGGGTGTTTTTTTTAATTAAAAAAAAAAAAAGCCAAGCAGGGTTTTGCAGCTTAGGAAAGCACTTTAAAACTGCTGCCAAATGAGAGAAATGACTGCAAGTAAATGTCCTGTCTCAGGTATAGGCGCTGTTGAATCCTTGATCAAAAACCAGAGAAACCAAACACTCTCCTACTTTACTTTTGTCTCAGTTTTTGCTGGTGATAGAGCTCTAATGATGCTCTTCAGCACCATGTGCTTTGCTTCCTTTTGCTGTGAGGGTAGGAAAATGTTTCAGCCATGTCAGAAAAAGGAAAATGGACAACTGGTTGTGTGGGACACCCCAGGAGTCCCAAAGTACAGACTAGTTCTTCCTTGTGCGCATGAAACTTCTGCTGGTTTGTAATGGGATCCCCTCACCAGGGCAGCATTCCTCCGTGAGTTACCAAACTTCATCAAGTCATTTGTGTTACTGTGGCTCCTCAGGAGTCCAGAGTGGCCAGAATTTCAGTCCCCAAAAGTGAGCTAATCCTAGCTAGCTTGTATGACCTAAAAGTGGTACAGCTAGTTTTTGAATACTTGAAAAACTGGTTTGATCGCATTTTTGATCAGTTGAAAGGTTTATGCCCTGTTGTCTTGCTGGAGATATCACAATAAGGATTTTTAAGCCGTAGCCAGGATTATTTCTGATGGATGGAACCAGCATTAAATACACTTTCTGTGCTCCCCCCTTACTAATTTATCTGAGTAATTTTGCATCATTCCTGAACTGTAGAAGAAGAGTTTGACAAGTTAGAAGTACATTATCTTCTCTCAAGCTTGCCTTTTACGACCTCAGGCTTATCTCCATTTTTTTTTTTATTACTATTGCTTTGAAAACATAATCTCAGTGCAGTACAGAAGGGAGACAGCCACTCACTCTCAGTAGACCTCCTTAGACTGTAATAAGAAAAAACATCAGCTATGGAAATCTTCACAGAATTTGCTCTCAATATATCATTGGCTGTAATCCACAGGATAGTTATATCCCAGACAAATGAGATGAGAGAGGTTGTAGTACTTCAAAACTAGTTTTTTCTAAGGGATGGAATAGATTCCTGTGTGTGCTTAGAGATGGGATCTTCTTTGACATGCTAGAACAGTGCACAGATGCTATAAAATAAACCAAAGACGACTTCTAAATCAGTATGACTTATATGCATTAGTGTTTGAATTGTTCGTTTACTTCTCCAGACCACAGTATCCTGCCTATTAAACAGCCCCTATTATTGCTCAGATGTTAGACTGTGTTGTAAGTAATGATGAAAATGATATATATTGGCAGGACTGTATAGTTTATTTATTGTTTACAGTTTTGGCCTCTTTTACTCCAGCTGCTCAGAACATTTTCATTTGAGATTGAGGTCTACCAAATTAGCTTTACAAAATTCAAAAAGAAACAGGGTAGAGGGACAGTCCACATAGTTAATACAAGTAGCGTATTAATACATGTAGCGCTAGGATTCTGAAGCTAACATAAAATCTGACCACTTATACCTGTCATTTTGCTTTTTCAGATCTGTTTTTATAACATCTATTTTTTCTGCTGCCTAAACCCTATTCTCAGCCAGTCCCCAAAGCAATGTGTTTAAAATAATAGAAAGTGTGTAATACATACAGAAATTTGCTCCCATTCAGAGAGTGGCATGAGGGCTATGTCTTTTTTAAACACTTCTTAATCCTGTTTGTCAGTCTTTTTCTTAAGTCTACAAACCAAGATCCATAGAGGCTTAAATAACATTTGAGAAATGGCTGTCTGCAGCCATCAATGTGAAAATTAGTAAGGTGGAATTTTCCCACGCAGACCTTTGCCTGGTGCTCCAGGCCCAGAGCAGCCTGGGTAGCCTTCCGTCATGTGTAACTTTTATGATAAAAATTGTTAATTCTATTACTCTCCCTTTTGCCTCCTGTGAGTTCTCCCTGCGGTGTGATATATGCCATACTGAACCTGTCCTGGCTCCCTGCAGCAGGAGCTCCTGGCTGCTTGGAAAGCACAGTGTAATTAATACATAGTAAAAAGTTCTTCAGGTGCAGCTTTACTATGCTGTGGTTCTTGGGTCTAAATGAGAGGTTTAAAAAAGAAAAAAGTACTCTTAAAGCAATAGGATTGTAAAGCAGTTTGGGGAGATGACATTCTCTGGGAAATAGCTGTGATTTTCTTGTAAATGTGTGTCAGAAAGGTCAAATCCTTTAGAAATGTTAATGCAATGACTTAACTAGAAATGTTAATGCAGTGTTAACTAGAAATGTTAATGCAATGATTTACTTCTGTAACATACTAGCTGGGTTTCACTTGACGTCTCAGATGTGCCAGTTTTGCAAATCAATAAGGGTAGCTTATCAAGACAGGTTTTTATTTAAAATGGACAATGTGCTTTTCTACCAATTTCAAAATAATGAAATGAAGAGTCTGCAACACAGTGGGTGGGTTCTGCTTGCTAGAATGACCTGCTTTCCTCTCTGTTTCCCCTTTGACTTCTTACCTGACCACATCTAATAAATTCCAGAGGAAAAATAAAACACACACGACATATTTCCCTTGCACTTCTTCCTGACTGTTGATGACGACAAATAAAACAATTATTCTCTCAGTGATCTGAAAAGAAAAAAAGGATTATGAACTCAGACAGCACGTTGTATAGCTCCTATTTCTATGTCATTTTGGCAAAATAGGAAGCCATGGATTAATCCAATTTGTATTATGCAAGGTCCAGTGGATTTTTCACTTTTTGGTCTGCTTTTGTTTAAGACCCTGTGATCCCCCACGTTAAGGAATTAGAAACTCTGTTTCACCTACTACTGTAAGGGTGGCGGTTTGTTTGCCGAAGAGGATGACTTGGGTTGTTAGCGGAGGAAAGCTGTTGATGAGGCCGCTGCGGTGTCTGGAGCAGAGCCCTTCTGCCCTGCAGTCAGTGCTGGGGGCAGACAGGTGAGCGGCAGCACTCACTGCCTGGCTCCAGGGCTTCGTGTGTGTCCTGGCTGTGACAAATGGATTTAAGCTTTATGTCAATCCTCCTCTATGTCAATCATTGCTATAATATTTACATCCTAATATTTTTCTAGCAGTCAAACCTAAGCCTACCCACCAAATTTGCCTTTGCAAATGACAGCGTATGAGAAGGAATTAAACAGGCACCATCACCAACTTATAAAAATGTTTTAGCGATATTAGAACTCAAGAATCTGAAAATAAGTGTCTTTTCATAGCCTGCTGGGACAAGCTTCATTTCCACATCTGTGCCCTGTTCTCCTTCATGGAACCTGAAAAACAAATGTACCTGCAGCGTTGAGTACTGCCCACAGTCTCCTGTGAAAACCTTCCATATCTCTACTGGTTCGCTCTGATTTATGCTTCACTTGAAAGTGCTAAAGGGGAAGATATGTTCAACTGATGTGACTCAGTACAACTTCACTGAGTTTTATACCAACTGGCCCACAGAGCCAAATCTTCAATTAAGAACCTTAGGGTTGAATGATTTTATGGGTAAGATGTCAAGCCAAATGAAAATCAAATAGCAAGGTGGTTTTCATATGTGCATTCATTCCTCTTTACTGGTTTCCCCCTCCCCCTCACTCCTACCTTAAACCAAAAATGAAATTGGCCTCTCAGCAAGTTTGCACAGTAGTTTTGCTACGTAATGTTTATCAGTTCTTGTGTGGAACGCTTTGGCTACAGACCTTTTTTGCAAACCACATCTGTCAGATAAAGCAGACACAAAAATGTACAGCCGTCACTTCACTATTCAGCAAAACTACGTGAGAGCGATTTTTCGTACAGAAACAGAGCATGTCCCTCCCCTAGGGATCTGGTTCCTCATCTTAAAAAGCACTGAGAGGCCACAACAGATAAAAATAAGTTCTGTCGCCTCTCGCCCTGCTTTAACTGTAGTCTTTTACAGTGGATCCTGTCAGTCCCTACCTCAGGAAGTGATTTCTAAGAAGGCAGGATGTCGAGAGGCTGGGAAATGGCGGGGGGGGGGAAATCCTCTTGGGGGCATGCCGCGGAGGAGCGTGGAGGAACTGCCACTGCTGCTGCCGGATCTGAAACCAGATGCAGTGGAGATGGGAGAAACGAGGTGGAGCAGCCATCGCACAAGGGAAATCAAAACAAAGATAAGTGTGAGGCCAGCCCTGAACAGGCATGCGTGCTGGAACGTAGCGGGTGAGGGAGGAGAATAAGTAGAACAGAATCTGAGTTAAAACCCTTTTGGTGAAGGATGGCCAAAGAGTGTTCCCTGGGTGATGGGGCTGCTTGTTATACACCCTAAAATCAGATTAGGATATGGAGAAAGAGTCTTGATATGGTTCTAGTGTGACATATATTTCAGGGAATTGTCTCACCTGGAGACCAAAGGTTTGTAATAATTATGAAAAGAACAACAGAACAACATATTTTCAGATGTAAGAACCGGCCCATTTTCTAAATCGTCGTTCACTCCCTAAAAGGTGATGCTAGGAGGTAAAGTGCTAGAAAACAGTATGGGTCGAGTGATCAGGAACCGATAGCATTTCAATCGGAAGGATAAGCAGGAGGTAGGTAGCTGCCGTTCCTGGTTTCAGAAGGAGGAGCATTGACCGAGGACATGGAATGGCTGCCATAGGTCTGCTGCTCCTCATGTGTAGCAGCCTTGGGCAGCAATGGTGGGATGCATCAGAGCTTGCAAAACAGAGAACTGCCCATGGCCTTGCTTTGAAAGCAAAGCTGCAGGGCAGTGTGCAGGGCTGGGTGCTCACCAATGAGAGGCAACTGTGGTGTCTTCCTGTGTATGGATATTACTACTGTGCCATTTTCCTTTGTAAATTAGGAGGTTGACTGCTGCCTGCTCTTGTTCCCCTTCAAAACACTGCACTATTTCTTTTTATAGCACTCACATCTTCAGGGAGCTCACACAAATGAGAGGAAGAGGTGGGGGGGGGGCATCAGAGGATGAGAACCTTTGAAGCAAGGGATGAGGCACAGTGCTACTTGGAGAAGAGGAGACTCCAGTAAAGATCCCCTGCAACTGTGCTGCTATGCACCATCCCCTATACCTGTATACAGGGGCACATACATACATATATAAATATATATACAAACATATACATACTTGTGTGTGTATATATATGTATATAGAGAAAAAATGTTACTGCTAAACCACAGCTCATTTCTTTCTTAGATAATTTTTAGTTTGCATGAATGAAAATATGGTATTCTCTGACACTTTTATCTAAAAAAAAAAAAAAAAAGCAAAACCAGAAGTTCCTATGTTTTCATGCTCATAAAAAGAAAGTGCTTGCTGCCACCTCACAAAGCATAAATGCAATGGTTTCATTTTTCATTCCTTGTTGTTCTTTCTGTTAAAATCAAACTGGAATTTCCTTCCTCTCCCAGCTCTGGTCTCTTGCACCATTCAGAAAGTGCTGTATGTTGGCGTAAACTTCCACAGTGCAACCAGGCCATTTGAACCAAGTAAGAGAAAAAGACCAAATCAAACTAGCTGAGTTTAGGGCAGGAGAAGGCAGCACATTCACTTCCATGTTTTTACTAAGCCTGACTGCCAGTATCACTCTTGGTACCTGAAACTGAGACCTCCTCCTTAAACAGCTCTCGGGTGAAGTGGATGTGTTAAAAAAAAAAAAGAAAAAAAGAAAAAAAAAAGTGAGAAGATTAGAAAAGTGCTAGTGGATAAGTGGCTTAAGTTAGGAATTAGTGATTTTGGCACAAATCCATAGCACGTTGGTTTGGTCTAGTAACTCCAACTGTGTTTGCACATGGGATAAAGAACTATGTTTTGTTCCCAAAAACTTGAGAGGTGAAGTCTTCCCCTAGGTCTTCCCCTCCTGCTCGCTAGCTGAGGTACCACTGCTCCCAGACTTTACACCCTGACCAGGCAACTAAATGTCATTATCCCCTGTTTTGCAGCCCCAGCTGTGCCTGGTGGGCTCTCCTTCTTGGATGTGCATGTGGCATTGATTATCCTGCAGCACTGGGAGCCTCCCCTTTCGCCTGCGCTGAGTCCCCTTCGGCCTCCCTTTCCCCAGGGCACCCGTTGCACAGGCATCATCTCTCTTCAGCAACGTGATCTGGCCTTGGCCTGCCCAGCCCCTCTTAAATACCCAGTAGCCTGAGGCCCTCTCCCTTGACAAGGCCAGTCCTAATCCGCCTTTTTAAGGGAAATTGTCTGAGCTTCCTTTTCTGTTATCTGTAACGCATATCTCAGTTGCTCCCTGCAAATGCCACTATGTCAGGACAAATGAAATTTTAGGTGGAAATTCTTCATCCAAACTCTGCTTAAAGCTTATCTCTGCTATGATACCTGCAAAATACTCAGCTATCACAAGGTTGCATTCACAGCCTGTTGCACTCAAAGTAACACCACCGCCGCCCACATGCTTCCCTGGCATTGTTGCAGCAGCCTCTTGTCTCACCCTAGAGATGGACTCTGAGGCAAACTTAACTGTGGACCTGCATGCGCATGCATGGCCAGAGGTTCGCTTCAGTTCAGAGTCAGGTTCTGGGCAGCTACTACCAAATTATTGCAGTTTTACCATTGCCACGATCACCCATAATAGACCAGTAGGCTACAGTTGGGTGAGCGTCTCTGCAGTCCTTCCCTGGAGCACCATGGAAAACCTTCCTGCTCTGTCCAAAAGGCATGGAGCCCAGTGTGGAAATCACACTGGGGCCAGCCGGCATGCAGCTGTGTTACCTGCACTCTCACTGTAAAAGCAGACCAACCTGGGAGAGAGCAGAACCTCCATCCAGATTGTCATATGTTGCTTGGAAAGCACAAGATTACCGCTAACATGGAGGTAAGAGTTTTGTTCATGGTCATGGCAAGAGGAGACTTCGGGGATATGGCCAAGCAAGGGTCCTACACTAACTATGCTGCAAGGTGAATTCTGAGAGTCGCTACACCATGTCCTTCTTTGACCCACCTCGTCTGCGCTGCCCCAGAAGCACCACCGTGGCTGCAGTGCCCCAACAGGGTCAGAAGTTTCTTGCTCAGGTCGCTCCATTTCACACCTAGGGTCTCTTATGGTGGCATTGATTATCCTGCTGCACAAACTCTGTGCCAAAGGGGGAGAGGAGCTTAGAAAGCGGTTATGTTCTGTACTTTCTATGCTTGCCTCAGCTCTGCAGTTTATCCACAGTGAGCACTGCTCTGGAGCGGTGTTTGCGCAGGCTGCCCTGACCTCTCTGCTCCTGCAGAGCTGGCAGGAAAGGAGGTACCGTGTCCGGGCTGGCGAATGTGTAAACTCTGCCAGGACAGACCTCACATTAATAACTGCTTTAGATTTAGCAGGCTGCTTATCTCTCCAAGAAATGATGCGAGATTTGTTACAGGATATGTCAGATTGGATACTCCCCCCATATTAGTCAATCAATTTCTGATGGAGACTTCAAAAGAGGAACATCTTCGCCCTTTTAGTATGTCATTTGACAAAAATGGGCTATCCAGAAAACTAAAAACACAACTAATTGCTTTTAGTCTTTTACCTTCTGACTGCTGAGAGCAACACCAGTTTTGCCGGTATTCAAATACTAAGGATTGGAAGGTTTGAAGTTAAATTCAGCTCAACAATTTTATTTTTTTCCAATGCATTAATAAAAATACCAAAACTGAGTTTAACTCCAACAGGAAACAAGAGTGTGCTAGGGAAAATGTCAGAAAATTATTTTGGTTTTTGCTGTAATATGTGATACCTAGGTCAGTTTTCTGCCTGCAGCCGCACGCACACTCTGAAAACCCTTCAAAATGTCAGAAGCTCTGGATGTTGCCACAAGTTGAACATGTCTGCGTGTGTGAGGGCAGAAACCCTTACAGTGGCAGTATGAGAATTCTCCTTTCTTTTCCCTCTCAGCATTAATTCTTCTGCCCCTTAATTTTTCTCTTTTACTTTTAAGCAATTATTTTCTGTCCCTATTCCATGACCTCCAGCAAACCCTGTTTGCTGTCTAGTAATTCAGGAGGCTTGAGATGCTGGCAGTTTTCTCTGTGCCATCTCTTTGCCACCCCACGAGAACGTATCTCGCACTAGTCTAAGAATAAACGTGTACATGCCAATGAGGAAACAGCATGGAAAAGAATTGTCTACTGACGCTTAGGCTCTGAACATACTGCCTTCTGGCTACAAATACGCTGACTAAGGAGGTCGTATTTCCAGCTACTGATCCCGTTGCTGCAGATAGGACACCAGCTCCTCTGGAGGGCTCCCAGGTGGAGGGCTCACTGGGTGCTCCTGGAGCAGTTTCACTCAGGGCCAGCCAGACTAGCTGGAAGAGTTTAGAGAGCAGCTATTTCCCAACACGCCTTGCACAGCTCTGTTGTGCAAAGTTAATTTCTGCAGCTAGCAGACCTAAAGCTGGACCAGGCTCCTTGCTGAGGAAAGAAGGTGATCCGTCCAGCATGGGTTAGCATAGGCTCATCCCCAAGGGCTGCTGTGGTCAAAGCGTGTAGGTCATGGAAGGAAGAGCCTCAGGAAGGGGACTTACCTGCAAAAAGCGAGGGAAGAGACGACTTTTATCAATACCAACAAGGATGTGTAGGATCTCCAGTACTGATAACAGCTGGCAAAGGCGCATCACAAGCCCTATGGAGTAAAATGTGTCGGCCAACGAATCTACAGCCAAAGGAAGGAGAAAAATTAGAGTGCAGTTACACAGAAAAATCTGGGCCAGGTACCGAGTTTGCTCTTGCCCCATGGCCACTGACAGTGACAAGAAATGAAGTTCACATGGTACCAAATCTTAGGGTTACAGAAGCAAAGATTTGGGAGGTGAGGAGGAAAGAGGGAACCCTAACTGTAAAACTTCAGTGGCTGAGCTTTTTCTTCCATGTTTTGCCTTCGAAAATTAGGGCATGTCTATTATTTTCCTGTATCCAAAAATATGGCAGCCTGCTGCCTGCTGTGGGCGAAGGAGTGCAGTCCACTGCCTTTTGCCCTGAAATGCGGAGGGAGGAAGCTGAAGAGGGACTGGGATTCCCTGTATTTGATCTATGGACAAACCCTGTGCAGGATGTTTTGGTGTAGAAATATCCCTTTATACAAAGGAGTTGTTGCAGTTCCTGCCTCTCTCTCCACCCATGACACTTCCCAAAAAAAACAGACCAGAAAGTAGATACCTTTTGTGCTTACAGCTGCCCACTATCTATAAATTACTTTAAATTTCCAGTAACTAATTTTCTGTTTTTGTGCCTTGATTCCAGGCAACTGAAAGAGAAATGTGCTGTGATACTTTGGGAGATAAAAAATTGTGTGCAGTAACCACAAAGATTTTCCCCCTTAGCGGCTTCAGTGGGAGTTATATTTACAATAATAATTGGAACTAGTCACATTTAGGTCTGTGTCTAAGTAAGTCAACTGTTATGGGCAAAGTCGCAAGTATTGCAGCTCATTAGCAAAAAAAGAACTTGATTCTTGATGTGGTACAGCTAGAACATAGGCATGAGTAATTTGTTCATCCTTTTTAATATTCATCTGCACTGGAAGAAGCAGTATTTTGTCACTCTTACTGAAATTGCGGCCCTCTCTACCCACAATTGAACGTAAACTTGTTCCTATATCTATTTCTAAGATCCTATATCTAAGATCCTATATCTATTTCTAATTTGGTGTTTCCATGTATCACTACCTCCTAAAATGTTTAAGTAAAATATAGAAGGAATCTTACCTTTACCAAATGACATGAACCTGATGATCATATTGGTAAATATCCAGGAATGTCCACAGAATTGCATTAAGTCATACACAAAGAGGTAGACGTTCATGTTAAAGCTGTGGAGGTGAAAATGGTAAAGCAAACTGTGTTATTCATTGCAACATTCAAGCTCTTTGCTCTTTAGAAATTGCATCGTCTTGGAACAACAGTAAACAACTCAATGACCACTGTGTCCGTCAATAGTCACAGTCACAAAACTTCCCAGCGGATCAAACGTTGTCCATCTTAGTATATGCTTATACAGACACTTGTTTCCCCTGCGGCTGGTGTCAAGGCAGCCCAGATGTGCACTCCCCTATGCCTGCAGCAGTCCGGGGACCTACAGCACCTCCCAGGGACACCAGTCTCTAGCCTCTTCTGCTCCCGGGCAAGGGTGATCTTCTCCTGGCCAAAAGATATGCCTCAAACTCATGCTTAAGGCAGTGTGAAGAAGAATGCCAGTAAATCACAGCGCTGCAAGCAGACAACACAAGTACAATTATTTATAAAAATGTAAGTGAAAAAATGGAAAGGAGAGCCACATTTCAGTCTATACTTAGTGCAACCTGAAAGGTATATTTCTTTTCCTAATTTAACCACCTTGCTCTACAGATTTTCCTGACATACATTAAATTAGAAACTTTGTCTTTTTTGCACACCTTATGTTTCAAACTGCATTTAATAAAAAGTGAATCTTCTCCTGTTGGGGCAGAGTAAATTTTATAGCTGTTCTAATCTAATCTTTATAGCTATTCCAAATTTTTGCAGAATGCCATAGGTTCTGGAGATACTTTCTTTCTCTCTTCTGGAAATTTTTTTTTCTGACTTACTCCAGAGAGAGGTTTACCTCTCATCCAGCTGCAATAAAGAGCGTCTACGTTCTTTGGAAATGCCTTTGCCATTTTTGCACTAGAATTGATCTTCTGCATGAGTATATTTAGAATTATAATTAACCAGTTAATTTCCTGTCACAATGAGTAGTAAAGCCTCTATCCAGTGTGTACATGTTGTGTGATAAATCTCTGCTGCCAAACTTTATATCTCATTTGTATCTGCGTATTAACAAATGGTGAATTTCCTAAATATGATGAATGAACATACTTCTTTCCAGCCTTGGACAAAACCCATGAACAAGCATGACATACAAAATTGGCAGACTGATTTAGATCAACTGATCTTCTAGATTTTTACTTTAAGTATATGCTAGGGATATCACAGTAAATGTTTTTCTCTCTCTCTTTCTATTAAGCAAGAGGGCTGCTATTCACGTCATTGCTTCTACAAGACCAGAAAGATTTAATGACCTAATTTATGTCCTACGAGATATCGGTGGCTTTTCATACTATGAAAATAGTATCACATAAGACATATAAGGACCCAGACAAGGGAATGTATGTAATACACATGTATAATACAACTTAATTGGACTCAAGTCTGGCAGGGTCTATAAAAATTGACCAAGAATTCCATCAGCTTTGATACTGAATCTCTGTTCTCTCTCTTCCTAAGCTAAAAACAGAAGGGATACTGTACATTCAAAAAGGGCAAAAAATTAAGACCACTGTTCAGATTTCAGATACAGCCTTATTACTGGAGCTCTGTAATGTATAAAGTATTTATAAGAACAGCTGTAAAATTCCTGATGCGCTGCAGCCAGGGCCTCACCAGTCCTCTCAGTCTGATGTTGCCATATGGGCTTTGCACTGGATGCAAGCCCAGTACATGGTTTCTCTCTCATTCTGAAGAGCAGTTTTCAACATCTGTCCCTTATCTTCAGAAATCGCGTTTCAAAGGTTTGGGCTTATATTCTGAACTCTTCCTCCATCAGCTGGCTAGAAAATTGTTTTCTTAACAATCCTTAAACTGAGTAATCTTGGCTAAACAGAGTGTAACTAAGAGGACTTTTGTAAACAGAGCCTCATGCTAGTGTTCAGGCAATATGGGTGCCATTTAATGTTCAGACTCACAGTGCTTGTGGACAGGATGGCTCCCTCACTTGGTGATGTTCTCCTCATGAGAAGGACTGGTCCTGACCTCATCATGGGGTTTCATCCTGTTGTGTTAATCCCAGAACAGAAGGTACCTAACCAGTGAGATCTTTAATGCAAGTGGAGAAATCTGCAGAGAATGAATGGGGTTTTCAACGTAATCAGAGGAAACTGAAATTTAATTATTTCCTAAGATCTTTCTTATCTACTAGGAGCTGGGGCTGGTCTCTTCTGGGGAACCAGAAGCAGACTGGGTCAACCTGCTGCACTGTCCGGATAGTTTTGTTCCAACACCAAATTTTGGCCATCCGTTTCTGTTTAGAAGGTCACTGACAAAAGGGATTGGCTTTAGTTAGACTTCCTCCATTTCATAGTGCACAGCAAGCAGCAGCCCACGTTTATCTTGCACCAGCTGCTTCTGCAGCACCCCAATGGGCAAAATACCAACGAGAAGATCAACCAGATGCCTGAGGAGAGTTGTCTAAGTGCTGCCTCTGCCTCAGATGCACCGGCTGGCCACATGAACATCACTTGGCCTCTGCAGCGTCCTGGTCCCCAAAAGGGATTTGCTGCTGCCTTTGCTCCTTGTAGTGGAGGAGCACTACTTATGCTTTAATGCTCCTAAGTGGTTTTTAATATTTCTCAAATTGAAGGTATTCTGGGGACACTGCACACTTCAGTACACTGCCCATATGGGTGCTGGAGGAAAGACAGAGACATGGGTCTCACAGTAATCAGACCCAGAAGGCTACATGTGCTGTCTGTTGTTTTAGTTGTCATTTCTGCCTTACTTATTATCACTGATTTCAGAGAGGACATGCTGAAACATTAAACATGAGGAATCAAGCTTGCTTAGTGGAAGTACTTCACTTTGTCTGCTCTCTCTGGGCTGGAAACCTAGGAAACTAGCTGAAACAGCAGATTAGTCAGACTTGGTATATACAGCAGCATGTTCCCAAGCATCCTCTGTTCCTTCTCTTCACTGGCAGAGATTTTAACAGTGATATAGCTTTAGTTTGAAAAGTCTGATGTGTTTTCATAAGCAGAGCAATTCCTTTTATTTATTTTTTTTCATTTTCATCATGAGGATGTTTAAGATGTCTCGGAGGCGGCTCTCCTCCTAGGCGAGCGTGGGGATGCTTGCATTCGGTGCCTGCGGAGCGGTCATGGCTGAGCAAACAGCAGGGCTGGCCGCAGGGTCTGGCCCGGGCCAGGGGTGACCATGGAGGAGCTGGGACGAGGCTGGGGTGGGTCCGGGACGAGGCTGGGGGGGGGCCCGGCCCCGGTGGGTCCCGACCCAGGCGGCTCCCACACCCGCCGTCACGGAGGAGCTGTCGCTGCCGCCTTCTCGTGGGCACGCAGTGGCCACGGCAAGAGACACATGAGGAAGCAACCCCTTGCTGAAACCAGAGAGCAATGTTCCTTTTTTTTTTTTTCTTTTCTGTAGGAAAGGTCGGCTAGAAAAGCCCCTCTGCTGACACGGTTTCCTTTTAAGTCATATTGGTTTGAACCGCTGTCCCTTCCCCCTCCAGCCCCTGTTACAAGCATTACAGCTCAGGAAAGAGAGCGCTACAGAGAAACAGAACAAAATACACATTTTTCTCCTATAGACACATCCCACCCTGCTTTGTTTCCCCTTTCTTTTTGCATTTGAATAGTTCTGGTCACCTTTGCTGGAGAGATATTACCTGTTGCAGGGGCCAGGTCACTTCTACTGCTCCTGATCTTTCTCTTTCTCTCTCTTTTGCAGCTGCAGCAGCTGTTGTTAGGAGATCACCCCTCCTCTTTCTTCTTCCCCCACCCTACGACGTCACCGTGTGTAACACTAAGCAGGAACAACACTGCACTTCCCGAGAAAGGAGTTTATAACCCAAAATATCTCCACTCCTTCTGTCCTGCTCCTAGCTCAACCAGACAGGATATAACATCACCTAGATCAGTTTCTTGCTATTGCACTTGTAGCAAGTCTGTAAAACCTACTAACTTTGCCTCTCAACCCAGAGTGATATTTTGAAGGATCACCAGAGAGAAGAAATGCAAAATTAAAAACTTTTTTTTTTCCTGCTTAAACTGTCGGAGGTACCACAAAACTGATAGCATATTATTAAATACTGAGATCGGGAGCATCACATAGAAGGAACACTTTAAATTAGCTCACACAGATAAGAACTGGAAAATTATTTCATCTAGAAATATC